CTAAACTGCAAATTTAAAGTGAATTTAATACAAGTAACTACTGAAGAAGTTAATACTGAAACAAGAACAAGCAGAAGACACCTAGTTACCTTTCACCTACTACTGATTACCAAGTAAGAAGCAAACACACACACAATGCCAGCTATTGGAATCGATCTGGGCACCACCTACTCCTGCGTGGGTGTCTACCAACATGGCAAGGTGGAGATCATCGCCAACGACCAGGGCAACCGCACCACACCGTCCTACGTGGCCTTCACAGACTCGGAGCGCCTCATCGGCGACCCCGCCAAGAACCAGGTGGCCATGAATCCCAGGAACACGGTGTTCGACGCCAAGCGCCTCATCGGGCGCAAGTACGACGACCCCAAGATCGCGGAGGACATGAAGCACTGGCCCTTCAAGGTGGTCAGCGACGGAGGAAAGCCCAAGATCGGGGTGGAGTTCAAGGGCGAGGCCAAGCGGTTCGCCCCCGAGGAAATCAGCTCGATGGTGCTGACCAAGATGAAGGAGACGGCGGAGGCGTATCTGGGCGAGAGCATCACGGACGCTGTGATCACAGTGCCCGCCTACTTCAACGACTCCCAGCGCCAGGCCACCAAGGACGCCGGCCACATCGCCGGCCTGAACGTGCTCCGCATCATCAACGAGCCCACGGCGGCGGCACTGGCCTACGGACTGGACAAGAACCTCAAGGGGGAGCGCAACGTACTCATCTTTGACCTGGGTGGCGGCACCTTTGACGTCTCCATCCTGACCATCGACGAGGGATCGCTGTTCGAGGTGCGCTCCACAGCCGGAGACACACATCTGGGCGGCGAGGACTTCGACAACCGGCTGGTCACCCACCTGGCTGAGGAGTTCAAGCGCAAATTCAAGAAGGACCTACGCTCCAACCCGCGTGCGCTGAGACGCCTACGGACGGCGGCCGAGCGAGCCAAGCGCACGCTCTCCTCCAGCACGGAGGCCACCATCGAGATCGACGCTTTGTTTGAGGGCCACGACTTCTACACCAAGGTGAGCCGCGCCAGGTTCGAGGAGCTGTGCGCAGACCTCTTCCGCAACACCCTGCAGCCCGTGGAGAAGGCCCTCACCGACGCCAGGATGGACAAGGGCCAGATCCACGACATCGTACTCGTCGGCGGATCCACGCGCATTCCCAAGGTGCAGAGCCTGCTGCAGGAGTTCTTCCACGGCAAGAGCCTCAACCTCTCCATCAACCCAGACGAGGCGGTGGCCTACGGAGCGGCGGTCCAGGCCGCGATCCTCAGCGGAGACCAGAGCGGCAAGATCCAGGACGTGCTGCTCGTGGATGTCGCTCCCCTGTCGCTCGGAATCGAGACCGCAGGCGGGGTGATGACCAAGCTGATCGAGCGCAACTGCCGCATCCCGTGCAAGCAGACCAAGACGTTCTCGACCTACTCCGACAACCAGCCCGGAGTCTCCATCCAGGTGTATGAGGGCGAACGGGCAATGACCAAAGACAACAATGCACTGGGCACCTTCGATCTGTCGGGAATACCACCAGCTCCGAGGGGTGTGCCCCAGATAGAGGTCACCTTCGACATGGACGCCAATGGAATCCTGAACGTCACGGCCAAGGAGATGAGCACGGGCAAGGCCAAGAACATCACCATCAAGAACGACAAGGGACGCCTCTCGCAGGCCGAGATTGACCGCATGGTGAGCGAGGCAGAGAAGTACGCGGATGAGGACGAGAAGCAGCGCCAGCGCATAACCTCGCGGAATGCCCTGGAGAGCTACGTCTTCAACGTGAAGCAGGCGGTGGAGCAGGCCGAATCTGGAAAGTTGGATGAGGCCGACAAGAACTCCGTCCTGGAGAAGTGCAGCGAAGTTATTCGGTGGCTGGACAGCAACACCACTGCCGACAAGGAGGAGTTCGACCACAAGCTCGAGGAGCTCACCCGCCACTGCTCCCCCATCATGACCAAGATGCACCAACAGGCTGCGGGAGCAGGAGCAGCTGGTGGCCCCGGAGCCAATTGCGGCCAGCAGGCCGGAGGTTTTGGCGGCTACTCGGGACCCACAGTCGAGGAGGTCGACTAAAGCCAAAGAGATTCCTTTTTGATCATCAATGGGTTCATTCCTAGTTAAATTTTAAGTTTTTACGACTGATGAGAATGTTTTAATTAAATATTCCCAAAAATCTCATAGTATTAACTACAAACCCCAGTCTTAAGTTAGCAAGAAAATTGTTATAGCACTATGAAAAATAAATTATTTATTTTAAAATTTAAAAAAAATCCCGACTTTTATTGATAATTTTGGTTATAAAAGGAAATGACATTGTTTGGAAAATTAAAATTGGTACCGTGAATGAATCTCCATTAATATATCTTACCGTCAATAAAATGTTAGTTTTCTTACCATTTTCAAAAACTAACAATCAATAGTATTGATATGTAATTTTTGGATTTGTTTATATTGTTTTTACTATAGAAATTTAAATATTAAAGTCAGAATTCTTTAGAAAACATATGAAATTTCCTGTGAACCAGATACTTTAAGATGGTATCTAGTAATCACATATTCACAAAATGTTTAATTTTCTTTTCGCTTTCTCCATTTTTAAAAATATTACAAACTTTTTTATAAGTAATGATTATATATTTTAGAAAAGTTTAAATAAATAAGTCTTAGTTAAAACTGAAAGTTTCAGTACTTAAACCTTAACCTTAACCTACGTTTGTGCCTTTTATTATTGTCCCTTATTGTGCTACTAGATTTTTTTGCTTTTCTCCGAATGGATCTCCGTAGTCCCTTCCGGTCTCATAATGGCTCATCTTGTTGCGATGGATGGTCAGAAGGGCACCGCTCTTGAAGTTCTGCTCACAGACACCGCACCTGTAGGCCGTGGCAGGGTGCTCCTTGCTGGGCAGCACCTCGTTTGGCTGCTGCAGTCGATCCGCAGGATCACGTTGCAAGCGCATGCGCTCAATATCCTCCGCCCGTCGCTGGTTGACCCTGGCATTAACATAGGGATCCGCAGGGAGGGCTCCCTCGTCGGCGTTGCCCGGGTTTGCGGCCTTCTGATGACCCTTTTGGTTACGGTGGATATTGAGGAGCGAACCGCAGACGAAACTGTCCCCGCATACGCCGCACTGGTACGGTCGCTCGCCAGTGTGCCGGCGCATATGGATCTTCAGGTCGTTGGATTGCACAAAGCTCTTGCTGCAGTTGTTGCAAGAGTACGGCCTTTGTCCCGTGTGCAGGCGCATGTGCCGCGCCAGTTTGTTCTGCGAAATGAACTTTTTGGAGCAGATCTTGCACTCACTGGGACGCTCGCCAGTGTGCTGGCGCAAGTGCAGGCTGAGATCTTGACTGCGGGGGAAGGCCTTCTCGCACTGGTCGCACTTGTAGGGATTGTCGCCGGTGTGCCGTCGAATGTGAATGGTGAGGCTGGACATGGGGAAGCTGAGGCCACAGTAGGGACAATCCTGCCGCTTGACAATGCGTTTCCGAGCGGAATTTTCTGGCGTTTCTGCCGTTTCTAAGGCCGCTGCGTCGGGATGAAATGCTTGCATATGACGTCGAAGGGTGTCCTGGCGCTTGAATGTCCGCGGACAGTGCTCACAGGTCAGCAGACCAGTGCCGCTGCTCTCGTTGGCCAGCTGCAGAGCGGCCACGCCCGCCGCCAGCCCGTGGGCCAGCGAAAAGTGTCGGGACAGGGATTCGTTTTTGGCAAAGACTCGCGGACAGACAGCGCACTTGTAGATGAAGTTCTCGGAGTGAGTTAGACGGCTGCCCAGCTGGGAAGGCCGCGCATGTGTTATTTTCAGATTTCCGGGTTCCTCTGGCAACTGGTGTAGCTCCTCCTCCTGATCCTCGTCGGCATACAGCGGCTCTTCTCCCACCTCAGACTCCAGATCAACAGGAGTGGCCTGGTCTCCCAATACCTCCTCCACTTCCAGCTGCTGCTCCTCGTATGAGACGGGCAGGAAGTCATTCATACCAATTACACCCTCCTGGCCAATAAGGTCCACCACTTCCACATGGCTTTCATCCGGCTTAACTGCATCCGCCTGTTGGTACAGATTCTGCAAAGTCTGCTGAGCGTTCTCCACCTCCAGGATGAACTCGTAAGCACTGATCAGCCGCCGGGTGCAGCTCTGGCACAGCTGCATCGGCAGATTCGGATCTGTCCAGGAGTACTGGTGAAAGTAGGAAATGGTTAGTATTTCTCTGCCAATTGTGTTTAAAGTTCCACTTACCTTTACTTTGGAAACGGATTCCAGCAGCTGCCAGAGCTCCAAGTTCAGGTTGTTGTACTCGATCTCATCGCGGAGGCACAAATTGGTCTCGTGGGTCTCCAAGCACACACGACACGTTTGCGAGTTTATATTTATGTGAATCTCGGCTGAATCCATGGTTTCGCATCATAAAACAAACCAACTCAAAGCAACAAGAAAATTTGTTGACATCAGCGGGCTATTAGAGATGGGCGTTAAGTCACAGCTGGCAGTCACTGGTCGCAGTCACTGAATATGTTTATGTGCCGGCTGTTTGCACAATGGTAGCGCTTGTACCTAAAATTTAAGCAATATTTTGAAATTTAAAAGATTGTTATTTTTAAGTTCTTTTATTGGTAAAAAGGCAAGTAAACTACAGGGTTTTTAAAGCTGTGTTCTTCACCTTTAAAATGTAGATATACTTGTTATTTAATGTCATATACATTTTAAAAATCAAAAGTTTCAAATCAAATTTATTAATATGATTTCTAACTAATTTAAATATTTTCAAAAATAATTTTAAAAACCTTTTACAAATTGTGTAACGCCATGATAAAAGTAGAAAAACATTTTGAGGCCACGAAAGAAAATGTGATGTAAAAATCACTCTTTTGGTTGTTATTTCTTATGATTTATTTGAACTATATTATTACAAGATTTAATCGTCAGCCTTCAATTTCAAACATTTTCTGATAATTTAAAAACGAAGTGATAATAAATAACATCTGGAAACTGCCTTACAACACTGAAAAGTGCAGAGGCCTAATCACTAATCGATACTATCGCACTTATGCCATTCACCCAGTGACGCACACACCCGCTTCACAATTCAAACGAACGGCATTTTATTTCACAGGACCCGGGAATCGTGAATGTTTTACCCAATAGTGACTTTTTGGCCTTTAGTATCTGACCAAATTCTGTTAAACGTTTTGTGCTTGTGCCGCCATGTCCCATCCATCCGACCATGTGTTGCGTTCCAAGGAAAATGCCCTGGCTAGGAAGCCGGAAACATCAGCCGCCCTCCACAACTTGCAGAAAAAAAACTTGCTTTTGGCAAAAAAGGTGAGTTGAGAAGAATTTAGAGTCCACCCAAGCAGCCCAAAATCCTCCCATCATAATGCTGACTTGCAGCCCACCAGCGAGAATGTGGCTCCAGGCGGCAAGCCCCTTCCTGGATCATCTGGTACTGTGTTCAGGGGTGTGACGGCTGGTGTGCGTCCGCCCAATAAACTGGGGTCAGGAGCCCCCAATTCGGCAGCTCCTTTGGCAGGAAGCAAGTTCCAGAAGCCACAGATGCCACCAGTAAAGAAGGTCACCTCGGAGTTTGTGGCGCCCGCTCCAGTGGCACCCGTCAAGAAGCCCGAAATAGTCGCAAAACAGATACACCCTGCTTCAGGCTCGGAATCCTCAACAGAATCTAGTGCTTTGGTGGCCAGCAGCTCGGGCAGCACTACCGATAAGGAGAAAGTCAAGACTGGTGGGTACCATAGCCAAAGTGTGTACTTTCCCAATGATCAACTCCATGTGTGATCTCTTGCAGAAACCCAGCCTCAAAAGCCCAAGAAGACCTGGGAGCTGAATAACTTTGATATAGGTCGCCTGCTGGGCCGCGGCAAGTTTGGAAATGTTTATTTGGCGCGCGAAAAGGAGTCGCAGTTTGTGGTGGCCCTAAAGGTGCTGTTCAAGCGCCAGGTAGGAGAGTCGAAGGTGGAGCACCAGGTGCGCCGGGAGATCGAAATACAGTCGCACCTGCGACACCCGCACATCCTTCGTCTGTACGCCTACTTCCATGACGATGCGCGCATCTATCTGATCCTGGAGTACGCGCCCCAAGGGACCCTGTTCAATGCTCTGCAGGCACAGCCGATGAAGCGGTTCGATGAGCGCCAGTCGGCTACCTACATCCAGGCGCTGTGCTCGGCGCTACTCTATCTGCACGAGCGGGACATAATCCACAGGGACATCAAGCCGGAAAACCTTCTGCTTGGCCACAAAGGCGTGCTGAAGATCGCCGATTTCGGCTGGTCCGTGCACGAGCCCAACTCGATGCGCATGACGCTGTGCGGCACTGTGGACTACCTGCCGCCTGAGATGGTTCAGGGCAAGCCGCATACCAAAAACGTGGATCTATGGAGCCTGGGTGTGCTCTGCTTTGAACTGCTGGTGGGCCACGCCCCCTTCTACTCGAAGAACTACGACGAGACCTACAAGAAAATCCTAAAGGTGGAATACAAGTTGCCGGAGCACATATCCAAGGCAGCCGCTCACCTAATTTCCAAGCTATTGATCCTCAATCCACAGCACCGTATGCCGCTGGATCAGGTGATGGTGCACCCATGGATAGCGGCGCACACGCAGTGAACCCACCGAATCCATTCATACTTAATTTTGAGTTATTTCCTTTTAATTCACAGTTTTAGTTAAGGCTCGCCGCGTAATTTAATTATGGCATCTTAAATTTTCATTTAGCCAGATTCGAGAAATTAACATTTATGAATTAAGTTTATTATAATCATTAACCAATAAAGTTTGTGTGTGTGTGTTTTCGAATGCTAGGCGAGTGTGTCGGTGTGTACATTCCTATCTTATGTGGCTACCTAATCTCTAGCGAAATGAGTTGACCAAATTCAAATGCAAATGCGAAATGTTGAGGCAGCGACAAAAACACAGGCAGCATTGCCCAAATGCAGTGAGCGAGTTATTTTTATCACAGAAAACCAAGTACAAGGAAATATTGTACGCAGATGGAAAGCGCCAGAGTGTATTTTTGAAATGGGCGAAATTTTGTGTATGATATGGAGGTGGATCTAGCAACGGAAGCAGGTATAGCTATCTTATTGCGACAGTATTTTGTGATCGTGAAATCGATTTCAATTCATGCCTTGAACTGGCTGCCTCTAATCTCGTTTCTATTTAAGAGTATTGTATTTCCTGCGAGTTTTAATTCGTTTTTCATTTGCTATTTACGAAATGATGGTAGTCATTACGTTGAACTTAACTTACAAACTAAATAGCTTAGGGCGTGTTCACCCGGGGATAGATTTCGATTTATAATCCTCAAGTATTATACAAATCCATTGATTGGTTTTCTGACTTTCGTATCATCTTTGACCAATTCGGTTTCCTAAAATCTATGGATGCGTGAGCACGACTTTAATATAAAGGGTTTTCAAAGCCTTTGCACACATGCCGCACAATATTCATAGAAAATTATCTTACTTAATTTCTTATAACCTCGCCTCCCTTCTTGCGCGCCGCACCATTAGAGTAATCGTCCTCTGAAATTGCAGCCAACGTTTAGGAAGGTAACCTCCATTAGGTCAACTCCAACTACTCACCATCTTGATCTTCATCCATGCCATCTTCCAGGTGAATGCCCTCAGCAAACTCTTTGCCCTGGTCGGCCACGATTTCGTTGTTTAGATTGTCTGTGTCGAGCAGGTGCTGCGGCTGCTTCACTGCCACATCGCCCACATCGTCGTCGTCGTCTCCCTCAGCACCACCGCCAGCGCCGGCTGCCTCGGCCATCTGCTTAGCCGGCTCATCGGGCACGGGCCCGGGACCAGGAGCCGGCAACTCGCCATCAAAGAAGTTCTGGCCTGCTGCGGGCAAATTAAAGCTCGGTTCATTCAAAGCGTCCTTGACCTCGTGAGCACCCGAATCCTCGATGGGTTTGGGCGCCACACCCAGATTCTTGTTGCTCTCCAGATCATTGACGGCGTTCGCATAGCGATTGTTGTTCTCGTTCTTCGGCATCTCCTCAGCGGCGGTGTCCACATCGCCAGCGTCGCCCTTGGCGTCCGCCTTGTCCTCGAAGTTATCGGGGATGGGAGCTACGTTTTCGGGAAGTTTGCGCTCCGGCTTGGCCGGCGGTACGGCGAGTGGTGGCAGGCCACTGCTGCTAACCTTCGGGGCCACGGATGCGTTTGGAGCATCGCCAGCATTCTTTGCGGACGCAACGCCCTTCGATGCCTGTGTGCTGCTCTTGCGGGGAGCGCTCAGCGGGGAAACAGGACCGCCGGACAGCTGCGGCTCTTCCTGCTGCTGCTTCTCACTGAGCGTTTTGGGCACAATCTGAAAGTTTTCAACAGAGTTTAGTATGAGACTGTGGTTGTTGCGCACGGCAAAGGGCAGCAGAGGCAGCTGCTGTGGCTGCTCCTGGGTTCCGTCACCATTACTCTTAATTGTGTAGTTAGTAGATGCTTTGGTTTGGTTTTGGTTTTGGTTTGGGTTAGTTGCTAGCAGATTTACCCCGCCGCCGATCCTGTAGAGGCCATCACTCACTTGCACTTGGGCATCGAAGGACTTCTCGTTGCGCGGCTTTTCAATGCTGTGCGCCAGCTGTGCGGGATTGGTGTGGCGTGTAGTGGGCATCTGTTCGGCGGGCTTGTTCAGTTGCTGCTGGTGGTCATGGGCCGGTGCCTCTGCGGGCTGGACTTTGGGCACATAATTGCAGTTGGTCTTGAATTCAGCGAGTGTGGCCTCCAGCGCGTGTATCTTGTGCTCCCCATCGCGTTTTAGTTTGTCCAGTTTTTCCTGAAGAATAAGCAGGTAAAATTAAAAGGTTCTAGGGTTATAGGGCAGACAATAATAAAGATTACCTTCCAAACAGCCACCTCGTGCTCCTTGCTCGCCTTGTCCTTGTGCACATCAGCCAGAACCTTCTGCAGTTTCTGATCGAATGCATTGGTGTCCTCGATGTGTTTCTTCTTGCTCTTCAGGCACTCGGCTTCCAGGTCGGAGTGCTTCAACTCCAGCAGCTTGTACTTCTCCACCTGTGCGTCGAACTTCTCCTGAAGGGCACGCTCGGTCTCCTGCTGCTTCTGCATCGCCTCCGCCAGCTGACCCTCGTACTTCTCCTGCAGACTCAACTTCTCCGTGCGCAGCAGGCTCATCCTTTTCTCGGCGGTCTCTTTCTCGGCATTTAGTGCTGCAATAGCATAGCAATTAGTGGGCTTAAATGAAATGGAACCCCAAATTGGACTCACATTCCATTTGGACACTAAGGCCCTCTTGGAAGGCGCGGCTCTCGTCCAATTGGTGTTGAGACATTTGGTAGATCACTATCATCATGATGAGCACGATGAACATGCTCATCAGAATGCAGATGCGGACGCGTCCGGAACGCGCGAAACGAGCCGAACTCATTTTCCACTCAGTTTAAGCTAGTAAATTGCCAAATTTCAACTTTTTTGTGCAGGAAAAAGTCGCAGTGAAAAAGTTCTGGGTGTTGCAAAATTCTTTTGTTGTGCTTATCCAGCAGTGTTGGAAAACGCCAACGGTTGCGGATTAGAGATGGGCGGAAGCTATCGATGCAACAATCTATCAGTCTTTAAATCCTTTATTTTATTTTTTTAAGATATTAAGAGTTGAGTAAAAAAAATTTTAAGGGCCCATTTCGATCATGCGAAACGTTTAAAGACTGAGAAAATTAATTAAAATCATACAGTAATACTTGGCATGGTGGAGTTTTTTAATTTCTTGCATTAATTGAAAGTTACAACGTTAGAAAAAATATATATAATGATGTTTAATATAAACCAGTACAATACCAGTGCCGGTAATATTGGTTTTTGCCGTAACTGGAACTGAAACCGATATTTGATTCGACTTCAATCCTTTATGCTATGTTTACAAAAATAAAATTGCAAATAAAATTCAAATGGTGGGCAACCCTTAAGTGTGACCAACTACAATTCGGTTTGGCCAAAGGTTGATTGCTGACGATATATTTCAAAGGTATCGCCACGGTCACTCTGCAGACGACCAATCGACGGCGAAGCGCGAAGAGAATATCAATAAATAGTTTTAATTTAGATTAATTGCACGTAAATAAAAGTCGCTTAGCCGGGGCAGCTGTTAAGTTTAAAGTAACCAAGTCAATTAATCGAGCTTTGCACCAACTAGTGAAAAGTGAGTTAAATTTCGCGAGGGCGGTTGGTTGCTTTTTGGTGGGGGCTGGGTAAGAGGATTTTATTTAAACAATTAATGGACAGCGAGAGAGAGATTCATGCGAACGCATACCTATCGCGAGAGTGTGGCAATCAATTTAAATAAATTAAGGTGCTCGATTCTGGTGGTAAACACGACAAATTACGTAAAATTCAGCACAAGTGGTTGCTGCTCCAGTGCTCCCGTGCTTCCGATAATAAGTGTGCCTCCAATAGTGATAATCTAGAATCGAAGGGGCATATCACCTGTCCGAAAGGTAAAACAAACACGCGGCGCTCAAGAAAAACTCGCCATAAACTTTCGAGCCCCTCGACCCGAATTCTCGTCCATTTGGGCAATAATCAATAACTGGCCTGCCATTTACCTTTGGTGCCGCAATCTAAAATGGTTTAATAATACCTTTTTTATCGTCGAAAGATTATAACACTTTATGGCATATGTGGTGTTTTAAACTTAACCATCAAAAGGGGGAACTTTGATATCTTTATGCTTGAGTTATTCACCCAAAAAAGAGAAGAGATAAAAAGTTCCGACGGTTCTTATCGTCTGCGCAATGTGGATAACCCGTTATTCGGCCTTGCCATTTTAGCATACTATTATATAGTTAAAGCCCCCGAAATTCGATCAACTTTTTCGTTTCGCACTTTGTGATGGTGCTAACAAAGCAATATCAATATTTATTTATTTGCCAGTGCAGGCTAATGGAACCCTGTTGATATGCTGCTAATCTCCGTGGGGCCGCTCCATCATGTCAACAAACTTCGGATCCTCCGATTCCCCGCTTATCACCAAGCTATATTGTTTACCCATATATTCATATCATTATCAGTTGTTTAACATTCATTATTATTTATTGTTTAATGGGGTAACAGTAGCGAGAATTCCAAATATTACACATACAATGTAAGTTTTTCTGTTTATTTTTATGTTTTAAAACATAAACAAACCAGTTTGCACCAATTCCTCACATATTTGTGTATACATATAAGAATATATATCTTTAATTTAATGAGTGTGTGTATTTCGCAGAATGTCGGGCAGTGAAACCAACAAAACACCGCTGCAGCAGCCACAGCACCAGCAGTTCGCGTAAGTTACCAATAAACATTTCAATTAGCCTGTGTAATGTAATCACAAAGGAAAACAAAGCGTATTTGTTTTAACAAATATTTTTTGCACGGTTGTTTTTACAGCACCGGCAAATTAAAATTGTATAGCTACAATAGATAGCTTAATAAGATATATATCCCATCCGACAGTATGCAAAAAGCTGGTTAGTTTTTAAGTGATAGTCTAAAGTTTAGAGGCTTGTAAATGTACAGTAGTTGCCGCTTAAATGTGAAACAGATCAAAGGACAGTTCAGTACAAAAAAATTAAACCATGTTCCCAACGAAGTTCCAATTGAACTTTTTAGGTATGGAGGTGTCCAAGAATTCAACAATACAACAGAAAGTAGAACAAGACACAAATACAAAAAATAGTGTTAAATGATTACTTAACATAATAAATTTACAAAATTAGTTATCAGATTTTTAAATGAGTTGTCATCAAGAAGTCAATGACGTTTCTGTTAGGCGATGCTCACTGTATTTGTGTTTATCATCGTTGAAGACTCGTCACATGAATAGACATTTATACACATTTCATTTTAAAGTGTTTTGCCCTCATCCAACAGACAATTTCTTCACCCCACTTTTCCCCCCATTCGTTTTCAATAAATTTGGGACAAACCCAGAGACAGGGATAGTGATATACGTACTATGACATAATATTATTGCATTTTGCATATTGTTATTCTTCTTGTTCTGTTCTAAAAAATGCAAGCCCAAAATAGACCCAAGCTAAGTCTAGATATATTCAATCGTACATATATATATATATACAGTGTGTATTCTGTTGGCCGGCCACCAAATATTTCTTGCTTATTAACATCCAACCCATTTGACCTTTCTTTTGCCTCAATTGATAGCCCAAATGTGGTATCTTAGGAAGGGTAATGGGAATGGGAAGTAATATGTGGGCCAAGTTCAAAGCCAATACGGCAATTGTTTACATTTTGTTGTTGCTGCTACATATGCAAGGCGAATGCAAAGTTAGCGCAGTGCAAATATTTGTCAATTAGCCAAGCGTAAAAGATACCGACTAACTGTTTCCCCTTTTTTTTAATTGCAGACTGCTGCCCAAGATCATCAACGGCGGAATCGCGGGCATCATTGGCGTAACATGTGTCTTCCCACTGGATTTGGTCAAGACGAGGCTGCAGAACCAGCAAATCGGACCCAATGGCGAACGCATGTACAACAGCATGTAAGTGCAACCCAAAAAGCAACAAACCGTTTGTTAAAAACATTAAAAATAATGCCTGTTGGTTTTTGTTTTGAGAAATCTTAAAGTCAACATACACAAAATCCATAATTTATTTAATCAATCTAAGTTGTTTATATTACAATTTGAAGTAACTTATAAATTTTTTATTCATCTGTATATAGGTATTAAAAAATAGTACATGTTAATTTTTTTTAATATCTGAACAAATTTGTGAATTTGTTTAGTTTTTACCTTATTTTATTGGCCCGTCAGAAAATAAAACGTAATAATACTTCCATAATTCTTTTCAATGTTATTTCAAATCAAATTAAATTAAACAAAATAGAAAAAGATTTTCAAATATATAACGTTAAAGAGGTAGTAATTTTTAAATGAATCTAAAATAAATCTTAATTACATTTGTAAGCCAAACTCACGGTTTAAACTTGGTTTAAAAAAACTTGAAGTAGGTATTTTACTTAATAGTTTTTATTCGTATCTCATACCAGGTTCGATTGCTTCCGAAAGACGTACAAGGCCGAAGGATACTTTGGCATGTACCGCGGCTCTGGCGTGAACATCCTGCTGATCACCCCCGAAAAGGCCATCAAATTGACCGCCAACGACTACTTCCGCCACAAGCTGACCACCAAGGATGGCAAACTTCCGCTAACCAGTCAGATGGTTGCCGGCGGACTGGCCGGTGCATTCCAGATCATCGTCACCACGCCAATGGAGCTGCTCAAGATTCAGATGCAGGACGCGGGCCGAGTGGCGGCGGCGGCCAAATTGGCTGGCAAGACGGTGGAGAAGGTGTCGGCCACCCAGTTGGCCTCGCAATTGATCCGGGAGAAGGGCATCTTTGGGCTGTACAAGGGTATCGGAGCCACAGGATTGCGGGATGTCACCTTCTCAGTCATCTACTTCCCCCTGTTCGCTACGCTCAATGATCTGGGTCCCAGGCGCAATGACGGTTCTGGAGAGGCCGTGTTCTGGTAAGATATACAGTTTTAAATATAGGAGTGTTTAGAGTTCTTATTATCAAACACTTTACTTTATTATATTTTCTATGTTTGTAAATATAATTGAAATGTTATTCTGTTCCCTGCAGGTGCTCCTTCCTGGCCGGTTTGGCGGCAGGTTCAACCGCTGCCCTTGCCGTCAATCCCTTCGATGTGGTCAAAACGCGTTTGCAGGCGATCAAGAAGGCTGATGGCGAGAAGGAGTTCAAAGGCATATCCGATTGCATCACGTGAGTGCTGGAAATGTTGTAGAATGCTCCTTATCCTCCAATTAATCACTGTCCATTGTGTTACAGTAAGACGCTTAAGCATGAGGGACCCACCGCTTTCTTCAAGGGCGGTCTGTGCCGAATGATTGTGATTGCCCCTCTGTTCGGAATCGCCCAGACTGTCTACTATCTGGGCGTGGCCGAGGGGCTGCTGGGCGTGCAGAAAAAGTAGGGGGATAGTAGGGGGATAGATACTCGCCAAGGCGGATTGACAAGACCGAAGCATTTTAAGTCTACTCTCTGAATATTGAATGTATGTATATCGTGTTTAAATGTTGTTAAAGCTGTCCATGAATGTAATCGTGAAGTCTCTATAGTAAGCTAAAGTAATCGAGCGGTATGCTAGCCAGTCAAGTATAATATGCAGTTGTTAAAGTTTTCCCCAATCCCATTGATCAATATAAACCATGTATTTAGGCCATAGCAAAAGACATCTGATGCTCCAATGACAATAAGATATGACAAGATCAACGCTAATATTATGTAAATGTTTTGTTTTATATCATAGTTTATAGCTGTTGTGTTTGGACACTCTCTCTCTCTATTTAAACTTGCAGCTAGCCATGAACATTTGCCTCAAATTGTATTAGTAATGCATTTTCCTTTGCCAAAAGGCAAAAGTTTAACGTTTTGTAGGATTCAAGAACATGACTAGAGCAATTGTATGCTTTGCAAAAACCGTCAAAAATGAACAAACGAAATATATACTATTGTACTAAAATTGAAGTTTGGGCTAGATATGGTGAACAGAATAGAAAATAAAAAACCAGCGCAGTTTAAGTAAGCAATCTACGCATCTGGAAACCAATAATGTTCATATCCAAATCCTAATGGCCGCCTCATCGCAGTGTTTTGCCCAAGATCATAAATGGCGGCATTGCCGGAATTATTGGTGTGACATGCGTTTACCCACTGGACATGGTCAAGACACGACTGCAGAGCCAGCAAATCGGACCCAATGGCGAGCGCATGTACACCAGCATGTGAGTGGCTTTTGGAAGGGGATTGCGGTCTCAACATCACGGTGAATTATCCTCCTTCCACAGCGCCGACTGCTTCCGCAAGACGATCGCCAGCGAGGGGTTCTTTGGCATGTACCGAGGCTCCGCGGTGAACATCCTGCTGATCACCCCCGAAAAGGCCATCAAATTGACGGCCAACGACTACTTTCGCTATCAACTGGCCACCGCTGAGGGGGATCTTTCCCTGCCGCGGGCAGCATTGGCCGGCGGCCTGGCGGGTCTGTTCCAGATCGTGGTCACCACTCCCATGGAGCTGCTCAAGATTCAGATGCAGGACGCCGGGCGGGTGGCCATTGCCGCCCGGGCAGCGGGACGTGAGGTGAAGCAGATGACGGCCATGGGCCTCACCAAGCAGCTCCTCCGTGAGCGGGGCGTCCTGGGCCTGTACAAGGGAGTGGGTGCCACCGGGGTGCGAGACATCACATTCTCGGTGGTGTACTTTCCGCTGATGGCCACCATAAACAATAAAGGGCCTCGCAAGTCGGACGGTTCCGGCGAGGCGGTCTTCTACTGGTCCCTGCTGGCCGGACTACTGGCAGGGATGACGGCCGCCTTTCTGGTCACACCGCTGGACGTGATCAAGACCCGGCTGCAGGCCGATGGCGAGAAGGAGTTCAACGGCATCGTGGACTGTGTGCGGAAGACCCTTAAACGCGAGGGTGTGCCGGCATTCTTTAAAGGCGGTCTCTGTCGGATGATGGTAGTGGCACCCCTGTTTGGAATCGCACAAATGTTCTACTTTTTGGGCGTGGGCGAGAAGATGTTGGGCATCGAGCAAAAGAAATCAGTGTAGAATGATTTCGCAGCCGATTTTTAAGGAAATCCATTACTTAACACTTTTTAAATCATTTTATGAAACCTGACCATAACCAAGTTTTTATAGCTCCCTCTATTTGACAGATAATATAAAATTTACGTCATGGACTATTATTTTGGAATCGTAGAAATTCTATAATTGCAACCTAGGGTTCGTCTTATTCAGTCCTAATTCTTGTTTTGAATAGTATTGTACAAATGCAAACAATTTAAATAACGCCAAGACAAGCTGAAGTAACATTTTATGTGTGTATTTGCTAATTGCATTTATATGCTAAACGTTTATAATCGATAAGTAATTTTCAAGAATCAGCCCAAGGCTGATTACCAGCCCATCTCTCTTATCACAATCCAAGTGAGGATTCTTTTCACTCCTGCTGCTGCTGCTTCAGTTCCTTTAGATCACATCCGCTGGTCGACTGTTGGGCGCAGCTGTGTTCTCCGCACTTAAGTCCACGTATCGGGCCTGATACCAACGGCTCACTGCAGCTCGATACCAGTCCAGAAAGAGGGCCTGCCGGTAGAGGATGATGCCCATTTGCAGGATGATGAAGCCCAGGATCGTGACCAAATTGATGTACTCCCACTCCATGACAATCACAAAGACCCAGATAAAGTACACGCGTAGACCATCGGCAAGCAGGCGATTGGCGCTGGACGAGTACATCGCAATGAACAGGCCAATAAAGTTGTACAGGGCACATGAGACGGTGAAGCCAATTAGGGCCATAATCATGGCGGGATTGCCCTGCAGACCCGCAAGGAGATCACTCCAATCGTCGAACACAGCACGTGAGCTCTCGTTGAAGGGGCTCACACTGGGCAAGAAGTGCATACAAATGGCCAGCAGCGATGTAATGATCAATCCGAAAATCCCCTGCCAACCGGCGGCTTGCAATGGAGCCACATTCGAGGTCTTGAGTTGTTTCTCCTCGTACACATACTGCAAACCGTGCAGAATCTCGGCTATGACGATCAGCAAGTCGCCGGTCAGGATCGATTTTTGGTCCGTGTACGGCAACGTGACCTGGTCGTATCCCACGCGCTGGACGTCCAGGCTAATGATGTCCAGCAGGCCGCAGGAGATGGTGAAGATGGCCAGCCAGTGGCGACCGCTGAGCGTGTGGTTCAGGAACATGGTGCTAAAGATGCCCACAAAGATCAGAGCAGCGCCTGCGTTCAAGATGAGTCAACGTTGAACAGATAATCAATTCAGACAGCTAATTGACGTACCCCTTATCATCTGAAAGCTGGTGGCGTAAGTCAGATAGAGTCCGGTGAAGAGCAGAATGGAAGCCACCACATCTAGCACGGTGGGCAGGAGCATACTCAAAGGTCTGAATTCGCTGCTGTCTTGCGTCAGGATGTTATCCAGGTCGGCAATAGACTGTGGATTGAGAGATCAAGTTTATATAAAAAATACCATTCAGTTGCTTGAAATCTAACATGGGTTTCACCTGTTCAAAATAGTTATTAGACAAATTTTTTAGGATTTTGTGGAATTAGTAATTTTTTAAGACTTAGTAAGCTTCTATCTACTCATATTTTTGTTTAAAATTTTGTAAAATAAAATAAGAACATTTAATGAGTTTTAGGTATAGATATCAATTTTAAATTGTGTTATAATATATTCAAAATATATTGTAAGATAAAATTAGGGTCCAAATATAATTTAAATAAAAATGGTTCTAGTATTTATATTTTTGCTTAAATCTTTACATTAATTTTATAATGTTTGCCCTTAAAACTTTACTCAAGATCCGCTCCTGTACTATCTACTACCAATAAATTTAATGTTTGGCTCATGAAAACAACCACTTGAACAGGTAATCCGGGTCTCCACAGAAATCACTTATAAAAGTGTCTTAAATTGTTGTAATCCGTAGAGAGTTCATCGGATATCTTCATGGATCATTTCAAAACCCAAGTGATTTCCTGTAAAAACACGGCTTTTCAACCGGCTTTCGTCAGTACTTACTCCACGCCGGCTGGAGATCAGGCGGATTAGCTTGAAGACCAGGAAGCACAGGAATTCGCCCAGGAACATGAGCAGGGTGAAGACCACCGGATGCTGGAAGCGGTGAAGTTTTTCATCGCTGCCAATCACCTGCTGTTGATTCGCCCACCTGCAACACACACACACACGCACACACAAGCGAATGCATATTTGTTTAGATGGTTTTTGCATATTATTAGAGTAATTTTCGGTACTTACTTCACCACCAGAACATTGAAGGTGCCGCTGAGCACAAAGATCAGCGACAGAAAAACCCGATGATCCATTCTGGGCAGAAAAGAACCTTTCTGGGTGCAGCACTCGTTAATTCGATTTACAAATATTGACGTTCTTTGTGCAATTCGCAATTGTGACTGCGCACTGCGCACTGATAAGTAGAGGAAAAAGTGCGGCCAGCTGAATATATGACTGCCCTTCAATATACCATCGGTGCTTATATCCGCGTAACTAAATTTACGCTTTCTCGAGGTTTACACATTAAAATAACTTGCAATTTGTTTGCGATTAGTGCGTTTTACCTTTTTTTTTACGGGACTTTTGTTGAATGTTTCTATTGCCAATAGTGTGACCGCTTAGAAAGCCAAAGGGTCTGCGGTAAAAATCCTAAATTGTGGATTAAGTCATAATTTTCGCTGGTCACACACTCATACAGTTTTTTAAAAGGCGGGATTTTTCAAATTTAATGTTGGCTTAAAAACTGTATGTCTCGAAAAATATATTACAAATAATGTTTTTTAATAATTTAATTTATAATTTCCTTTAGTTCGGAATTGTAGTATTTCACACTGTCCTTGTTTTTTTTTGTTCAGAAAACGGACCCTTTAAAACTATTTCGATTTATATAGCGAGTGGACTAAACGGTGGAATATTTGAAGAAGAAAACAAAATAAAAATATACCTTTAATGTGTTTTTGCAAAGTTTTTATTAAACTCAAACTTAAAAAATATCACAGGATATGAAAAACCATTTAAATGAAAATACATGAAGTGGTGTTAGTGCATTTGTTGCCCAATTGCCATCAATTTGTCTGCGTTGGCGCTTGTGTCGCATTCTGTGCTATTTTCCTGTAAATAAGTTAAGAATATTTGTATAGTACAAAATCGTAAAGGGTGTTTCAAGCGAACGCAAGCAAGCAAAAACACAAATGGCCACAAAAAGCATATCCTGCCGTCTCACCTGTAATCTGAAGTGTTTTTCAAGTGTTGTGATTGTGTTTTTGGGTATCTTGTTGCCTATTACATTACAATGTTGTCGTGTCGTGCAGTGTGGGTGTTCCTAGAGCTCGTCTCGGGATTGGGAGGACGATGGCAGCGTCACCTCCTCGACGGAGCCCAGGTGTATGGTTCTATTTGGCCGGCTGAACTTTGGTATGTATGCGACCGAGTCGCTGTTGCTAACCACCGAGTTGTGTAGATGTTCCGTGGGTGCCGCGGGATCGGGACTAGTGAGTGTGATTTTGGAGCCAGTGGCCACTCTGTGGAATGTATGTAGGTTTGTATTGTGGCTAAACGGCTGCGTTCAAAATAATATGTTTGAAGAATTTGCACGGAAGTCTTTAACTAAATGAGAATCTCAATTTGTTGGTTCCTTGAACTAACAGTCCTGCTAAAAAGTTAATTATGGTCTGATTTGACAACTATTTTCGAATTTTGGGTAGATAAAGGTGCAAATAAAATGGTACAAGCCATTAAAATTTTAAAAGCCTTCAACATTGCTGTTTTTGTTTGAGTTACTATGTTGACCACACCAAATTGTAACCTAAATGTGTCCCCATTACATTGTATCTCTGGTTAGTTTTGCGCTATTTGGCAAGTGTTAGTTTTTTGGGGCATTTAAAAAATAGCTTCATCTCTGGTGTACCTTTTGTACAGCTTTTGGAGGTGGTTGTAGTCGAAGAGGGAAGATCTGAGAGTGGTTGGAATTCTTTTCTATTGGCGCTGGCGGGCTCCACCGCGTGCTCCGCGCAATTTTTGTGGGTTTCTATTTGCAGATCAGATCGTAATCAGAGATTCGGACTCAGAGCCGCCACCTTACCTGTCCCTGGCCTGCATGCTGGCCTCCACGTCCAGGCTGCGCGGCTGCCGGAAGTCGCACTCCAGCGAGAAGGCCGAGTCTCCGGGCGTGATCAGCTCGGGATCGTTCTGGATCACCACGATGTTCGTGTAGAGGTCTCCATCCCGCAGGGTCTGGCACTGGTCCAGCTGGAAGTTCATCTCCATGGAGCGGGATCCCTGGCTCGAGGAGGGCTTCATGAAGCACGGCGCCGTCTGCTTATAAAAGCTGCCACGCGTGTACATCACGCCCGTGAACGGCTTCTCCGTCTCCAGCACCACGTTCATCGAGTCGGCCCCGCACTTCAGGTTCACCTTTTGAATGCCCTGGTCGCTGCCCTCGATTTTAAAGGTGTCCGAAAGGTCTTGTTCCCAGATTTCTGCAATAGGGCGAGCAATGTTTTCGGTGACATTTTCTGGTTGTTATCTAACTTTACTTTTTATATTTTTAAAAATAGTTACTTTTAAGTTGGTTGCTAAATATATTATTTTTATAGGCTTAAAACAACAGACTTAAATAATATAGTTTTTTTAATTCCAAATTGAGAGTTGTTTTACATGTTTGATATTATTCGTTATCTGAAAATGCGTTGGTTTACTTTATAAGCTCATTATTTATATAAAAAAAACGTATGTTTTCAAGTAAAAAATTTATAAGCTTGGAAAACCAATTTATTGAATATATACAATGATTTGTTTTACCTTTTATTTTATTCTCTAAATTCACTAAACGAATTATAAATTAATCAATGTAAAAAAACTGTGTGTACCAACTTTGCTGTTCAATTAAAATGGCGTTAATTTGTTAATATGTTTAAAAACAATATATTATTAAATATTTTGTGTCATAAATTTCAGAAGTTATTTTATATTTGTTTTTTAACTTCCTTTTAGATTTCTAGAACAATTACTCTCCATTTCTTTTGCTAGCCACTTTTAACGATTTTAAGCTTTCTTTAAAAAAATAACCGTTACTTCCACCTGAGCCTATACAATTTCTAGACACTTTGCCCAACGAACCGTTGAAGTTCACTCATCTCACCGGCATTGCTGAGCTCCCGTAACCGGTTTCTGTTTATTTTGGTCTGGCTAGAACATGGCGCAGCAAAAGAACTTGGCATTGAAAATTTCTCCACCCAACCTGGATGAATCAGTAACAGTCTGCTTTCTGTTGACCCGCCTCGACGAACTTACCTTGGTTTTGGTTTTGGTTTTGATGTTTCTGTTGCTTGTTGGCCGACACGTGGACAGCTAGCAGCATGTTGCAGGCGAACAAAAGTAGAATGACATTCTGTAAACCCGACATATTGTTGCACTATTGTATTATCTAACACAAAACTAATGGGGTTTGTCGCGGAGTTTGAGTTTTGTGAATGTCCCAACAGCTGCAAGCCAAGATTTAAACTGACGAAGCAACTGCGTCTGCGCAGCGCATATAAGCGCGACTCGAAAGCTCCGGCTTCCTGAGCCAGAGCAAGAAAAGCCGAGAAAAAGAGAGGCAACTTAAGAGAGAGAGAGATCGGTTGGCTCAGCTGAGAGCCAGTGAGAATTTGGTCAATCGCAGAGCATACAAAATATTTAATTGTCATGCTCTTTTGATAAGGCGAAAATGTATTGGCATCGCAAATTGGAAAACCGAAATAGATCCATAATGAAAGACAGACTAAGGTGATCGAAATACTGGATACCCACTAAGAAAGGCTTTGCTTACGTTTTTTTTATTATTGCCAAAATATAAAATAAAATAATAACTGAAAAGTGTTTAGTCCTAGTTTAAATATTTCAGCTCAAGTTTACTTTTGATAGTGTTTTAAACTGCTGCATTAGTTAGTCTATACATATATCCTTTCCAAAAGAATTAGCTCAATTACAAAATACCTTTTGCCAGGGTATCAATATTTTGCTTAAGCCGGCCGTTTAAGGAAAACAAAATGCGGCATCGCTCCAAAGACATTTCCGCTTTTCGCGTGTGGCATGTGGATTTCAGCTGTGCGCATTCGTTTCGCATTTTTAGCGCTGCATTCAACCGATTTTTTTGTTGCCGTTCATTATTCAAAATGTTATTAAACTTCCCCGTTTTTTGCCTCTGGCTCCGGCTCGATTCGGTTCTCCTTCATGCAACAAATTTAATTATTTCAGCAGTTGCTTTCGTCTTGAGTTGCCTTGTGGTTTGTTGCTAGTTTTCCACCTGCCTTTTGTTGTTATATGCATACATCTTTTGTTTTTCGTTTATTGCGTTAATTAAAGTGTAATTAGTTAGTGATTCGGTTTGGCCATGCCAGCGAAAGGTGGAAGTGGCCGTGTTCAATATTGGCCAAAAAATGCATTTACTTCGAGAGATTCGTGGAAACTCTGCTAAACATAATTAAGTTGTTAATGCCTTCGTGTGACTGCGATTTTCATTGCTTGCTGTAAAAGCTTTTAAATTTTGGAAAATGTTGTATTGAATATAATTACTTAATTTTAAGAAAACTAAGTATTATTTAAATTATGTTGGGATGAAACTCTAATTATCAGAAACTGGTTGGTGTGGCAATTAGTTGATTTAACATCATCACAATTTCGATTTGAAATAAACTTTAATAGTTCTTTAAAATTATATGATCAATTTGGTTTATATTTAACCTAACGCTTTTTTGTAACTTACCTTTCCCATAATTGATGTCACCCTTTGTGATTTTTGTTTAAAGTGCTCTTCACTTATCGTTTATTACTTATTGTTATTATCTATGTGCTACCATTATCACCTGCTGATTAAACGGTTATCAATTTCCATTTGCAAAATAAATTGGGTTTAGCCTTTTCAAACAACCTCAAGTTCGCTCTAGGTCACAATAAAGCCATTCAAAAGGTCACCCAGAGTAAAGAAAAATGGCACAAACACAATTTATAGACTTTATTTTATATCGTTATGTTTTGCAAGTAATCTTCCTCGATTACTTCTGCTTTATGGCTGCCCAATATCGCTTCAGTTCGATGCCCTCCCAATCGAATGGTTTGGTCAAAACGCTGAAAATGGAAACATTTACATAATATTTTAATAGAGAGGATCGCGAAAATTGGCCGGCACATAAAGTCGGGAAAAATGGATAAAAATCGCCGCACATACTCGTAATGCCCGTGGATCACGAAACGGAGAAGTGGAGAGACCAACAAGTTCAACCTCGATTTCGGTCGGTTTCGCGGGGACTCCGCTCAGTGGCAAGTGGCCAGTGGGAAGTGGCCAATGGCCAGTGGCCAGTAATTGATGTGGAGGGGGACAGAGAAGAGGTTGTCTGGTGCCTACTGCACCGATGGCCAAGATTGACAATGATCATGCACACACACATATGGACAACTAGCCGAGGAGTGGACCCCCAACCGCAGGGAAGTGGAAATGATGTAATGGTAACATTGTATCCGAGTTGCACAATTTTCGCTGTGCCTGTGCCGCATTTGGCCAACTTCCGAGTCGCACACTCACTTTTCTTTCAGGTACCGCAGCACTTCCTGCTCCTTTTCGTTGAGGCCCAGTTCGAAGGCCCCCAGGTTGATACGCAGCAGCTCCCGCGTCTGCATGCCCGTGAGAAAGGTGCTCACCCCGGGCAATCCCTTCATCGTGTAGAACATGGCCAGTTTTCCCAACTCCACGCCGCGTTCCTTGCAGAACTCCGACGCCTTCCGGGCAATGGCCTTCTGCTCGTCGCTGGCCGGATGCCAAGGCTGCGGTCCGCCGTTGGTCAGGAGTCCAAGGGCATGGGCAGCGGCACAGATGACGCCAAGGTTCTGGGACTTGAAGAAGTCCAGGTACTCCAGCAGCGTTTCATCGGTCAGGGTGTATCTGGCGTAGGTGAGAACCGTCTGGAAGAAAAAATATGAAAATCAACACGCAAGTACAACTTTCCTTAACTGCGGTTTTGTTAAACGTGTAACCAATTTTAATAAATGGGAGATATGCCAATGGGTAATATTTACTAAAATGTACCCTTTGTTTATAAAGACTTCAAATTATTACTAAATGTAACCATATATCGCCTGTAAATCGGTTGCTAGCATTACGGAATATTGAATATCTGTACTAAGAATTACTATATTAATAATAACATGGTATAATATTAATAAATGGGAGATATGCCAATGGGTAATGTGTAATGGGTATTTACTAAAATGTACCCTTTGTTTATAAAGACTTAAAATTATTAGTAAATGTAACCACATGTCGCCTGTAAATCGTTTGCTAGCATTACGGAATATTGAATATCTGTACTAAGAATTACTATATTAATAATAACATGGCATAAATTCAGTATTATTGTTATATACCTTGCAAATGAATACACAATAAAAAACAATTTAGGATTTGTAAAAAAAAAAAGCAAAAACAAGAAAGAAAGCAAACTTCGGCAAGCCGAAGTTCATACACCCTTGCAGCTATTGCATGAATTAAATACTTTTAAAAACATTTAAATTATGATTTACTTCAGTATATACTGAAAAACAGTGAAGCTATGATGATTTGCAGCTCAATTATTAGATAGTTATTTTATATATTTTTATTAGTTCTATGGGAGCTATATGATATAGACGTCCGATTTTGATAAAATTTAAACCATAATTCTGAAATAATTAAACATTGCCATATGTCGAAGAACTAAACAAAAAATTAAAAAACAGAAAAGTTATAATTTTTTTTCATTTATTTCTCCGATTGTTCCTATGGGAGCTATATGATATAGTCGTCCGACTTTGATGAAATTTAAACCGTAAATCGAAAATATTTAACCATTACTAAATGTCGAAGAACTAAACAAAACATTAAAAAACAGAAAAGTTATAATTTTTTTCATTTATTTTTCCGATTGTTCCTATGGGAGCTATATGCTATAGTCGTCCGATTTTGATGAAATTTAAACCGTAAATCGGAAATATTTAACCATTACTAAATGTCGAAGAACTAAACAAAAAATTAAAAAACAGCAAAGTTATAATTTTTTTCCTTTATTTTTCCGATTGTTCCTATGGGAGCTATATGCTATAGTCGTCCGATCCGGCTCGTTCCGACTTATATACTACCTGCAATAGAAAGACAACTTTTGGGAAAGTTTCATGCAGATAGCTTTAAAACTGAGAGACTAGTTTGCATATAAACGGACGGACAGACGGACAGACGGACGGACAGACGGACATGGCTAGATCGACTCGCCTAGTGATGCTGATCAAGAATATATATACTTTATAGGGTCGGAGATGTCTCCTTCACTGCGTTGCAAACTTCTGACTGAAATTATAATACCCTCTGCAAGGGTATAAAAAAAATATATATATATATAAAAGACCTTTTTGAATGGCAGCATATATCGAAACTGTTCCTCTTCAACTTAGAATTATTTATGTAGTTATATGTTAATATACATCGACTTACATCGAATCTTCCTGCCGCTCGGGTTAGGCACTCTTTAAGCACCGAAATCGGATAGGCGGACACGCCAATGAACCTGGCCTTGCCCTCCTTGACCAGCTGCTCCAGCGTGGGCAAAGTCTCGTTGATGACAATGTCCAGATCCTTGGCAAACTCGATATCGTGTATTTGGATGACGTCCACGTAGTCCAGGCCCAGGAGTTTCAGACTCTTTTCCACGCTTTCGCGGGTCTTCTTGGCGCTGAAGTCGAACATGTTCTCATAGTCCAGTTCGTAGCGGGCTACTTTGGTGGCAATGTAGTAAGATTCCCTGGGCACGTCTTTCAGCGCCTGGCCAAGGACCTCCTCTGAGCGACCCTGGCCATACCAGGGGGCCGTATCAATATAATTGATGCCCGATTTCAGAGCCTCATGCACTGTCTTGATACCCTCCTCAAGTTCAAAGCTGAAGATAAACAACATTTTTTAACGGGAATCAAATTTACCTTATCCATAAAAAAGCAACAAATTTAAATACAATATTTTAAAAAAAATTTTAGGTAAAACGTTTTAAAGATTAAAAAAAACCCGAATACAATACACACACAAGCGATATATTTAGGGATTTAGAAGGTTTTAGATCTTGGACTGTTAAATTAATCTCAGAAAAAAAAATATTTATTTCTTCCTGTGTAGAAGATAAATTGAATTGAAAAATATCCCTCTCACCCGTAGTTGGCGCAGAGGGCGCCGCCGCCGAAAGAGACTTTCGAGACTTCCAGGCCGGTCTTTCCGAGATTGCGATATTCCATGCGGCGCACCTTCGCCTCATCGTGGAAGCCCTTCACATAGGTGGTCGGTAATTTCCCAGACATTTTTGATAATCTCAATATGTTTTCGCACTCTGTTGAAATTCAATCGCTTGTCAGAGAAGTACTGGCAACAGATTGCGATGTACTTAGCGTATATTCTGGAAATCAGAGAACTGCCTCTTTATCAAAGAGCACTGACGGACAAACGTAAATATTGTGTTTATGTATACAGGAGCGGTTTTAAAGTATTTGTACAGATGATATATATCAATGTACATACATATGCAAGCTAAGATCAAAAATTCAGAGTGAATAAATGGGAACTAAAGTTCAAAAGAGAAAAAAAGAGACTGTTTTTAAGGAGCATAACACAAAAAGAGAGATTCGCAAGAATTTTGTGGATCCATAGCAGTGTTCGTGGCTTTCTACTCTCACTCTCTTGGGTTGAAACCAATAACAATTTATCAACTAAATTAATCCGGTGTTGTGTTGAGGGTTGTGTAAACAAATGCTAGAATACTTCCAACAAATAAAAATAAACAATCGCCTTTTCAATTTGCTTGTTTATTTATACGATTGTGCTGTGCCCGCAATTATTTACTTTTCCCAATAATAGCCACTTGATCTGATCTGTGGGTGTATATAAGCTTATCTTTTAATTTAAAAAAATCATGTTTATTATATTATTTATTTATTCTATTTTCATACACAGAAGGTTGTAACGTTATTTGTATATTAATTAAATTATACTTAAAATTTGCAGCATCTGCTTTTGAAAATTTTGTTAAATCTTCGAAAGAATATAGAAAATCTTTAAAGATTTTTGTATTATCCCATACTATACAAATTTCATATAAATAATAAGTGTTTAGACATGCGGTTTCATTCTGCGATATTTATTTTATTTATGTAAATTTGTATTTATTCTATATTCATACACAGAAGGTTGTAACGTTATTTGTATATTAATTAAATTATACTTAAAATTTGCAGCATCTGCTTTTGAAAATTTTGCTAAATCTTCGAAAGAATATAGAAAATCTTTAAAGATTTTTGTATTATCCCATACTATACAAATTTCATATAAATAATAAGTGTTTAGACATGCGGTTTTATTCTGCGATATTTATTTTATTTATGTAAAATTAAAAAAAAAATTCACTTAAATCAGTTTTTCCTGTCTTTCCGATGTTTTCCTTGGTTTTTGGAGCTCAAGTTCGATTGCCCATTTGGAGTGACCACTCACTTTAACCTGTTAACAGTGGATAATGTTGATCCCCAGCTATAGGACTTGGTGAAAACGCTGAAACAAAGGCAGAAAAAGAGAAACATGTATTTTGGCGAATGGAGAGTGGATAGCCTCCAACCAGTTTGGTCAGACTGAGGCCAAGTTCGTGCCCGTGATGCAATTGCTAACACCAAATTCGTCTTGCACAGTTCCCGTTCCCTGTTCAGCTGAACCAGTTGCTGGCCAACTTACTTTTCGCGCAGGTACTGCAGCACTTCCTGCTCATGGGAGGTGAGTCCATCGAAGACCGCATCCAAGTTGATTCGCAGTAGCTGGCGGTTGGGCATGCCGATGAGGAAGGTGGCCGCCCCATCGAGTTGCATGGTGTGGTACATGGCCAGTTTGCCCAGCTCCACGTTCTTCTGCCGGCAGATTTCGGCTGCCCGTTTGCCGATGGCCTGGAGTTCCGGACTTCCCGGATGCCAGCCCTGCGGACCGGCGTTGCTAAGGAGTCCCAGCGCGTGGGCGGCGGCACAGACAACGCCCACGCCCATCTCCTGGAAGGCCTTCATGTGCTGCAGCAGCGTGTTGTCCAGCAGGGTGTAGCGGCCATAGTTGAGCATCACCTTGATGCGACCCTTGCCCCGTTCGGCACACTCCTTAAGGGCGTCCACATCGTAGGCGGTGATGCCGATAAATTTGGCCTTTCCCGCTGCCACGAACTCCTCCAGGACGGGAATAGTTTCGTTCAGCACTATATCCAGATTGGGTGCGGCATCGACGTCGTGAACCTGCCCAAGTGTATGTCAAATAAGTTGAACAACTTACAAGCAAACTGAGAGAGACCCACCTGCAGAATGTCCACATAATCCAACCCAAGGAGCTCCAGACTACGCTTTACACTCTCCCTGGCTTTTGCACCCGAATAGTTGAACATGTCGTCCGGATTTACCTCGTATCGCGCCACTTTAGTGGCTATGTAGTACGCCTCTCGGGGCACATCCTTTAGGGCCAGGCCGAGCAGCTCCTCCGATCTGCCATAGAGGGGAGCGGTGTCTATATAATTGACACCGGCCCTAATGGCCTCGCGCACCGTGCGAATCCCCTCCTCCCGATCAAAGTCGCTGTAGAAGCGACCGGACAGGGTGGCACCACCGAGTGAAATTTTAGACACTTGCAGACCCGTGGAACCCAATGGCCGGTACTCCATTCGACGCACCTGCTCCTCATCATGGAAGCCCTTGACAAAGGTGGCTGGCAATGATCCCGACATCTTCTACTATTCAAATAACAAGCTGAACTAGCTCAAGCTCAAAGCAGTGCTGCCCTTTTATACGCTCTGAGCTCTGAATTTTCAGCCGTAGATAAGAATTGTGGGGTATAACAGTGTTCCAATATGTATTAGTGGTAGTGATGAAATAGATTTCACTCTCTTAGCAAGCAATTTTTAGTCATAGATAAGAACTGTGGGTATATTAGTGTTCCAATATGTTTAGTGGTGTTCCTAAATAGATTTCACTCTCTTAGCAAGCTTCTCTTCTTGATAAGCTTTGGAAGAGAATATATTCTCTTTATTACGCACCTGACACTCGTACTAGTCCATACAGCTGCAGTCAAAATAGTAGCAGTGCAAAAAATGTAAAATGCTGTACTTTTATCTTAATAATTACTAACCAATAAAAAAATAAGGTTTAAAAATCATTGATATTTTGTAGTTTTTCAAAGAAAATGAACGCAGCTTATAATTCGTTAAAATTAACTTCTCAATGTATTGTAGTAAAGGATTTTATGAGAACGATTTTTGTAAACCATCTGAACTTTGTATTGAAATTAAAATGCTTTTAATATCTTATTTTTTTGTGCAGACTTTTAAATCACTCTTTTTTTAAATATTAAAAATGTTATACCAAAGATAAATATTTGTCATATTTTTTTTATATTCACGAAAATGTAAACAAAACGTTTAAAAGTGGCTTCCAAATTAATTTTAGTTGCTATTTCCATATGATAATAACTAAAATTATTAGGTTGTCACTATAAATACATATATTAATGATCAGCAGCTACAGTATGTTCTGCGATTGGAGAAATTTAATCATAATGAAAGAAGCTATAAAATCCAAAGGCTTCTAGGTGTACAACATTATTGTAGTAAGTACCGGGTATCTCAAAGTCAGTTCATTTGTTTTTAATACTATTTATTTTATTTTATTTTATTTATCAGAGAAGATTCTGAGCTTGTTGTGGCTTCCAATCAATTGACAAATCGTTAAGAGTAAGTATAAATATATGCTTTATATATCATATGCATGAGATAGGGACGCGCACCGCTCAGAAGAAGACGTCGAAGTCGCCCTGGGGCTGATAGCCACCACCGGGGGGGATCAGCTGGGGCCGCTGCTGCTGGCGCTGGGGCCGGGGCACGATGATGTCGTTGATCTCGTGCAGGATGCCGTTGGTGGCCACCACATCGCACTTGGTGACGCCGGCGTTCTCGATCTTGGGACGGCGGTCGCGGGTGATGCGCAGATGCTGGCCGGAGATGGACTCGATGGAGCGGACAAATGGCCAGTTGGTGGGTATAATACCGGCGCAGCAGACCACGTCCTCCACGATGTGGGTCTTGACCAGGGCCACGGGATCGGTGGGCTTGGAGCCCTCGCCCGACTCGCTCAGCTCCTCGAAGACATCGTTCTTGGGCACCAGCAGAGTGAGACTCCTCGAATTGTTGGACAGCAGCTGGGTAAGATTAGCCTTGCGCACCAGTTCCAGGAATTTGCTGTAGTTGGGATTACCCTCCAGAAGCTTGAGCATGTTCTGCAGGAAATTAAACCAAGTTATAAACGGGTCTGTAAAGGGTAACCAATTCAGGACTTACGTTCTTGGGTGGCGCCAGGGCACGATCCACCTGATGGAGCACGGAGCCACAGCTCTCGTCGTCGAAGTGCACCAGACGGGCGCAGTTGACCGTGGCCCGGTTCATCACGTCCGAGAAGAGGGCATGCGTGGAGTAGAGGTTCAGGCGCACACTGGATCCCGCCACGGTGGGCAACGATTTCTCCGAGAGGTCACAGGTCTTAATCATGGGCTTGACCACATGGTAGTTAAGGAACTCCAGCAGATCCAAATTGTGATTCAGTAGCTCCGGCTGCTCCTCCAGCATGCGGGCCCACTCCGTGTGCTGCAGAGCCTTGTCAGTGGGTGCGAAAATGGTCACGTTGTCCAGATCATCGAACTGATCATCAAAGCCGGAGGCCTCCAGCAGGCGCTGGAAGATGGTCAGGTTCTTCTGCGACATCAGCGAGGTCATGGGCAGCGCAGACTCCGTGGGCAGGATGGTGTCGATCACGTGCAGGACACCATTGGTGCCCATGATGTCGGCGTCTATGATTTTGGCCAGATTATTAATGTAGATCGGAGCGGGTCCAGTCTGATTTGCAGTGAGTTGGGTGCGGTTCAGGAGCAGGGGCTCTCCCAGCAGATTGTAGGCCGTCGTCTTGGCACCCGGAACAGTGGCCAGCGAGCAGAAGGTGAGGTCCAGCAAGTGGTTCTTCAGAATGTCTAGGGTTTACGAAAAGGAATGTTTAATTAAGTCAACTAATTGTTAACATATTTGCACCCAAAACTTACTCGAGGCACAGCCACGACCCTCCTTGAGAGCACGACGCAGATGTGGTTCCAACTTGTCGAAGGCGGCATCCGTGGGCACGAAGATGGTCACCGGCTTGTCATCCTCCAGCATGGCACTCAGATTGGTCTTCTCCAGGACGGTGCGCATGATGGACATATCCGCCCGCTCCCTGATGATGTCCATTATGTTCTTGGTCAGCGGCTTCAGCACTCCGCCCAGGGTGTGGACGAGGGCCTGCTCCGACAGCTTGTCGTGCTTCTCGATGGGCACACAGTTGGCGGCATAGCGGTAGGGCTCCAAGCCCAAAGCCGCCGGCAACTGGTAGCTGTTGATGCGAATCCTCTGGTCGGGCAGCTCCGTCTGCAGCAGCTTCTCGTTGGGCACATCCTCCAGCTGCACTTCGCCGAGAACCGCGTGCAGTTTGTAGATGGAAGGCTTGGAGGCCTCGGTCTTGGCATCTTCAACATTCTGGTATAACAAAAATTGAAAAGTTAAAGTATTGCAACTGCTCGCTTAATCATTTATCCTTAAATTAGTAATTTTAAAGGGTTAAAGGGTTACTCACGTTCTCCTGCTGGTGGTGTCCACGGTACTCCAAGAAGGCCGCATCGTTGGGCACGAAAAGGGTCACCTTCTTGCCACTGCCTCCGCCCAGCATCTCGGCCAACTCGCCGGCAGTGCGGGCGCTCTCGAGGAACTGCTTGGCACCCATGTCACTGGCCGTGGCCTCCACGTCCTTGATGTCGATCTTCTCGCAGGGCGTTGTGAAATCGGCGTTCCTGGGGCGTCCATATCCATAGCAGCACTGGCGGGTCAACGTCAGCGTTTTCTTCTTGCCGTTTTGATTAACGCTGAAAGGGGGGAAATGTTCAATCAACATTCAATGTTTGGTAATTCCCCCGTAGTCCTCTTACATCTTTGTGCAGACGTGCTTGTTGGGCTTCTCGGCACAGGAGTTCACGCTGAACTGGAACTGGCCAAAGAGCGGGGATCGCACCACATTGGTAACGCCATCACGTTCCTGGCCAAAGGTGTCCACTGTTTCTTCAGCCTCCGTCTCAGTGGCCACGGTCTCGTCTTCCTCCTTCTCGGTGCACACATTGGGGCTGGGCAAAGCAGAAAAATTGGTTATTGGTTAATCATTTGCTGTGGTAATCTTTGGGGAAGTCGAACGGATCACTGGTTCATGGCTTTAAATTGAACTTTGATTGAATCATTGGTTTCCAAGCATAAGTCTACCATTTTCAGTTGATGTTAATAAATCAATAAATTAAATAAAACTTTTCTGAATATAATCCTTTGATGATTTTAATTTAGGAGATTTGGAAAGTGGCTAATAAATAAACTTATATATGTATTTTCATTTAATAATATCCTTACAATCCAAGTACATACATATTTTGTTTGCGGTAGTCAATGATTTAAGAAAAGCTTAATTTTGTAAACTAAATATTTAAAATGTACTGCTTAAATATTGAAAATATAAAAGAATACAATTTCAGTATATTTGTATTTATTTCGTATTCAAGTACAAGTATTCCCGTTGCTAATTTTTCTAGAAATTCTTTTTATACGCTTCTCTAGGCTAGCCTACAATTTCAATGCTAATGAGTTAGTTATATATCAGACGTGCAAATCGAAATGTCAATGTACCATGTGCCTATAATTCTGCACCAACCCCATATAGGCACGTATACTTTCATACCCATATCTTCGAAATCAATCAAACTTTGTCCAAGGTATATAGAGTATACATATATCAGTCGGTTCATCAGCACTCGCTAACCGAGTGTTTGCCAAACGGATTTGCACAATGATCCCTCATAGAAAGCATAGTTATACTATACAAACACACTTCTATATAATTGCGTTCGTGTGTTGGCTTAACAGCTTTGCCAGTCCATCAATTCAATTATGGCGACGATGAGACTTGTATTTTGGTTTTTGAATGCTAACTCATTGTGCGCGTAAATTTTTAGAAATTTCCCACTGAACCATAGATATACGTATCTACGTATATAGGTTTTTATGCAGCTAATTTTTCAATTTGCCACATCTCTGACTTTCATTTTACTATGCCCACAACAACGAGTTCATTGCTCATTGCGAAAACGGCGACGAGTTGATTTCACAATTTAGAAAAGTGCAAGCTCGGCTCTACAAACTATGTATTCGTGCACTTATCCAATATAATATGCACTATATATTCATTCACTTTTCTTATATACAGTGCCCAGCTGCTTGGCAATTAATCAAAGCAACAATCAAGCCCTAGAAATGTTTAGCAGCCTCAGCTGGCACCAATCATAGATGAAAAATTATTTGAGTATTTACTATTTAATTGATATGCTCGATTGCCTCCACAATGGCGATAAGCCAGACAACTTTACACAATTAAAGAATACTATTGAAGACACAATAGTATTCTTTATACAACCATATTTAATAGGTCGAATGAACTTGACATTGTGCTCTCTTAATTGCCAAATGCCAAGAACGGCGAAGCCGATCGCAGAATCACTCGAGTGCGGTGATTAGGAAAGACGCGAAATTACTGACCATAACTGGGGGAGTTTTCAGCCATTAAGAGGAGGCGAGAATTCTTGATCGATGGTACTTACCCCTTCCACCAGGGCTCCTGGGCAGCGCCAAAGCCAAAGCCGCCAAACGAATTGAAGAACTCATTGCCAAAGAAGGGGAACGACTGCTGGAAGAATATGGCCGGATTCGGTGCATTCACATCCGTGGTTATGGTATCCACATCTGCGAAATAAGGAAACGCAATTAAAACCACTTCTTAATGTCATAAAATAATTAACTAAAAATACATTGTTATGTATCAAAATAATAATAATAGTATATAATAAAGTTGAAGTACACTTTGCACTGAAACTTCATATAAAATGTTCGTAAACTATTTTGTCCACTGTATAAAAACTTGCAGTTAAAAAAACGGATTAGTAAAATTTAACAAATTTGTATTTAAGTGAATAATTTGTTTTTTATTTAAGCGTACTTTAAATTAAAAACAAAAATATGATTTATTTAACTGTATATTTTAGAAAAAATACATATTAAAATTCGGTTCTTTAAGCCTCAACTTAAAGAAAACCTTTCCAGAAAGATGAAAACACTATTTCTTATAAAAACTTTAAGCTGACAATAGCAGTTAGATATTTTTTCAGATACAAAATTGTAAGCTGAATAATTTTTGCAACTTCTTGTGCCATAAGTCGCGTTTTAGATTTAATTTAAGATTTTAATCCAGATTTTATTAAAGATTTAATTTGATTATTGAATTCATTAAAAAGGTTTGGTCATCATGTCTGGCCCCAAAAATAAATGAAATTAAAAGATTATAACCTAACTTCATACATGTTTGAATGAAAATGGTAAAATAAAATTAATAGGTATATATTGCACCACTTACTGAAGGGCTTCTGTTCCACACCCGCTGGGGCTTGAGCGGGGACGGTGGCTCCCGTCTCCTGGCGTCCCTGTGGCGGCTGCTGGTGCTCCAGGGGCACGAACTCGGTGTCGAATTCGCTGCTGAATAGTGGCAACAGGTGAGAGGTGTGGAGCTGTTGGGCCAGCGGGGAAGGGCCGCCGGGGCCGTTCCAGACGCTCGCCATCCGCTGCGAGGCCTGGGCATGCAGTGGATCTAGTGGCTGGAGTGGTGCGAGTGGCAGGGGCGCAAACGGATTGCGATGCAGCGGCAATGGGTGGGTTAGGTGTGGCATAAAGCTGCAGATCGGTGGATCGGTGGTGGGCGGTGGGTGTAGAGTGATGTGGTTAGTGTTACTGTATGCTCGTTGTGTGCCGATGTGTGTGTTCATTTCATGCTAATTCCATGGCGAACGGAACGAATCGAAACGGAACCGGGGCCCAATAATTCATATGCCTTCATTGTTCCCTCGCATAAAAAAGAAGCTCAACTCTACTCCTACAAAACTAAATATCTCTATGCCTGAGTTTGTGTAGTATATATGCTGATCGTGCTCATTGTTTAGCTTTTTTGCGCAGCATTTACCTGAGCCGCATATTAAGCACCTCCCAGTCAAACTCTATATTGAATCAAATGAAAATAACTTTTTAAGTGCCGAAACAATCGCTGAAAAAAAGGCAAACAAAACTTGAGAAATGTTCCTGCACTTGTCATCCATCAACTGAGATTTATGTCAACGGACTTTGGTTTTTTTCTGGGTCTCCCAATGCATTCCAAATCTAGACTGGGATGTATATATTATATATATTGAACAAGACAAAATGACTCAGACACTTTCTATGAAGACTGAAGCGTTAGCCAACTTATAAATTTTTTTCCGCTGCGGGTCATTAAAATTCGCTTCGCGGGAGCTAATTAAAAAAAGCTCATAATAAGTGCTAAATGAGAAAAAAAAACAAAACGAAACTAGCTAAAAATAAATAATAAAACTATAATGCCCGTAAAGGCAAAACGTAAACAATTTGTGCGCTTGCTGACTTTGAGATTTAGCACTTCTGTGTCTCCGATTCTTTTCTGGTTGGAGTTCTGCCTTAAGGTGACTCATCCGGGCGGGACGTGATCGGAAGGGCTCAAATCGGCTTGGTTATACCAGAGGTACAGACAATTTAAGCCGACAATACAGAATTGAGGATTGGCTACTTGCCCGATGAATGAGTGCCTCTTTTTTCGCTAACTTTTCATTTGTCAGATTTGCTTTAAATCATTTCTGGGATTTATTTTGAGAAGTGTAAGAACACTTGAGCTTGAATCGTTTTAAAGTCCATTAATCAACTGATCATCATAATAGACAATACGTAAAAACTTAAAAAAAAAGTTAAAAAGTCTTTTAAAAAAAAATAAATAATGTTCTAGTTTTTAACTTTCTGAAGCAATCAAAAATTTGTGTATCCTTACAGCTTTTCGGACTCTTGATATAAATACATATTAACTGATGAATTCTAAAAGTTAATATATTAGATTTTCAAAAAAAACTTAAGGTTGCATTTATGTTAAATATATAAAATTATAACAACATTGGAGCACCTTGAAATGGCAATTTAATCTGACAATATATTTTTATTAAATACATATATATATTTCTTGAAGATAATTTCACAATGCGGTATAATAAATTATGAAAAACCCTTCTAAACTTTTTAAATTATAAAATTTACAAAATGAATGATTAATGAATATGTTAAAATTGTATAACGTTGTTCAACTCTTTTATTGATAGCGATAGAATGCATAACCAATCTGTTTAGCGAATAATATTTGTAAACAAACTAAATTCTGTCCGCTCGCAGCCAGAGCGAAAGTCATTGGCCACAGACCAGCAGAAGGGACTGAAAGCGAAGGCAGACCGGTGGCGGTGATGAATCAGAGACTTCCAGGGAAATGTTTACGCCGAGGGCAGAGATGGCTATGGCCGCCCAACCAAATGGATGCCTGATTTAATTAAAGCGCAGCCGTGGCAGGCAGAATTAAAACATTTCGAGAGCGTAAAAGGGGGAAATGCGAAACAAAAAACAAAATCAATTGTGGGTGACCCAGTTCGAGGGCAGATTATACAGTTTTTGGGGTAGTCTTTAGCCGGCGCATTACCTGCCCAAAAAATGGCACTTAATGCCGTGTCAAATGTCAATTGCTTTCAGGGCCAAAACCGTTCGAGAATTGTGTCAAAAATGAGCCCTCCGGCGGCCTGAACCCAAAGGTTGCAAAGTCAGTCGAGTGTGGCGCGGCTCGGAAGATCGGAGATCAGAGGAAGAAGATGTGGATGTGGATGTTGAGGTTGCCCAAGTCCCGCGGTGTTGCCCCACTTAGGTTGCACATTGTTCTCTTGCGATGCAGTATCTTTCGCAAAAATAAGATAAATGCAAGACCGCAAAAGACTCTGATCGTGGCCTTTTTACGTTCCCAATTGTGCCGAAGAACCGAGTTCGATGGGTAATACATATAATCCAGCCAGTCAGACAATCTCTTCGACTCAACAGTTTCAGTTTAAGGTTTATCAATTGAGGTCAATACTCGCGCCGGGCTTTGGACTTTCTTTCTGGGGGAACTTTTTAGCTTTTTCAGCTCCCTTTCGCCCCTTTCCGCCTCCACCACCATAAGCCAAATTTCGGTCAACTTTATTTGCAGTTTCGTTTAGCGGGCGAAAATTTCTCCAAGAACAAACAGGGCTCGCTGTCTGAGATTGGAAATGTCATAAAAACACTGAACCCGGTATTAACCAACTTTTATGAGGTGTCATTGGGCTCGTATAATATGCTTGCGCGACTTAATATTGAGACTCGAAAAGAATTTTTAAGTTGTTTCACTTGTAAACTTCTTTGTTTGTGTGTTTGCTTTGGTAAGTAGTTGTGAATCTGGGCTAGTCTACTGGGGAATGATGGGAGTCGGCAGTTAGGGTGCTGGGTTTACTTATAGTTCACCTGGACTTATCAGAGGATTCGGGAGAAGATTCCGCCGAGTCCTCGAATTCAGCATCAGAGCTTGAACTGGAATTCAACGTTTTATTTATTGGGACGAGCTTACTAATAATAAAGCGTAGGGGAAATCTACCAATATGGGTACTACAGGGCTTAAGCAACTAACAACAGCGATTATAGTTCGCAGTTAGTGTGATCAAAAATTGATTTAAATATATAGGTTTAATATAGTTTATGTTCTTAGATATGTCATTTGCATGTCAATATTGTTTTAGTGATATTATTTATCGATGCAATTTAGGAATCTAGTTAGTTATTATTTGTTTTTATTTGTGATTGATGAACAAATTGAAATTGGGTAAATAAAACTACTGAAGTACTTTAAAGGCACTTCAAATTACAAAAATTTGATTTAGCACTTAGAATTCAAATACGATTGATACTATTAAATTTGTTCAAATGACGCAATGATATGTGGTATGGGCTTAATTCTTTTTTTTTTTTGGTTATTTAAGTATGTTTTTTTAGGAACCCATTAAGTGTACAGGCATTCTTAGCTTTTCGAATGTGTTCCGATAACATTAAACATATAGTTCATGCCTTATCAGAAGATGTCGATGTATGGTTACCAATAAAGCCGCAACGCAAACAACTCAAACTACGTGAAATGAGCATGAAACGAACGCTACACAGCACGAAAAAAAGTGTGTGGGCTGTACTCACTCGCCGTAGAATGGAACCGCCTGGATCTGGATGGATCCCAGGAGGAGCAGGCATGCCCACAGCCGTTGCATGTTTGGTATCACAATCTTGAGCCTCAGTTGGGAGCTAAGTGCGGGGAATAGAAATGAGACACGCTGAAAGTTGCTGTAATCAAGGGAGCTGAATGGCTGGATGGATCCGAGAAATTTTCACTGCGCGATGGAAACAGCTGGGGCGGCCAGCGGAGACCAGAAAATACAGGTTTTCCACGCAGCGGTGCACTCGCGTATGTAGGTGACTGATTTTGGGAGTGAGAGCGACGGCCGAAGAAGAAACTTTTCCACTGTCTCCACGCATTAATTGCGAATGTGCTGCCACTCACATGTAATTATTGTCAATTGTCTTGTTTTACGAAAATTGGCACACACTCAATTATCAAATGTCTCTGGCTCCTGGCTCCAGCAATCAGCTACCGAGACTACAAAAAGAAAAAAACCAAGCCACTCAGCACAGGCACTCACGAATTGGTAAAAGGTTGCTTGATCCGACGATGTTGCCGCTACAAGTCGCAGTTTAAAACTAACTGCCCAAGAACGTCGAGCATCTGGTATTTATAAGCTGCCTCAGTCGCTGCCTCGGTCGCTGCCGCTGCCACTGTCTCTGCCTCTGCCGACGTCAGCGCCTAGAGATCGGAGAAGCTTTGGGAGAACGGAGAGAACTTTTGGGGACGCTTTAAAGTCGGGTATACCTATGTATGTATGTATGTATGTATGTAAGAAGCGGGTGGCAGGAGGTCCGAATAAATTGTGAAAGTGCCAACTAGTATAACAATATTCGAGAAAGTGCGATATGGAAATACACTTTATTGATTTTACTAAACAGTAAAATTAATTTGTATTAAATAAAAAATATCTGAAAAAACTGTAATGGCAATTATTCAATTTTAAATCTTTTTATTTCTCAACATAAAATGGCCCTTGCAGAGGTAAATTTAACTTCAGTCAACTGAACTTAAATTTCTTTAACTCAAATTAATAAAATTAAAAGGTTTTAATCATACATTTGAATAAACCATCTCAGCAATTTGAAGACTATATCCCATGTCCATTTCTTTAGGCTGACTGACTAAAATTACAATATACATATACAATCATTGTAATTAGTTTACCATATCTAATACATTTAAGATAAACGAATGATTGCTTGAACAGTATTATTGCAATTATTTTCATTTTGAAATTATTCAATGAGCATATCTTTGTAAATTGTATTAATGGCAGACAATAAAATTAGCCTACCAAACTCATGACTTTCCCTGAAAAATGTAAAAGAGGGCATACAAAATCCATCAAATTAACCATCTCGATAGAGGAGTGTTAGCCATTTATAATGGTCTACTATTTAAAAAGAAAATTTACTTTTAGTAATTCTCGGAAACCATTTCAGGTAAAACTGCAGCCAAAGTGGATTTGCTGATGGCCTACCTGAATTTGTTGGGCCAGTGAAGTGCGCACTTTGAATTTCGGATATTCCCCTAACCCCTAACACCCATCAATCACTGTTGTTTCCAGTGTTCTGGTCTGTGGCCTCTAAGGTGCTTATTAGAAGTCTGCTCATATTTTGAAACTGTTCCGTTCGGTTTTGATTGTTTTGTATAAACAAGATGTCAGCTTGTAGCTTCATGTGTAGATGAAATTGAATTTCTCGGAACTGTGAGAAGACTCTTTAATGTTTTCTTGTTTTTAATTGCTCATTGTTTTGATTTTAGTCAAAATAAGATGACAGTTGTTTCGAGCCTTTCGGTTTCAAAGTCGCTGAAATGTCTGGAGAAAATTTGTATTTGGATTTCAATTAAAGTGATTTGTATGACACCTCCATGTAGATAATAAGCCTTCAGTTTTGGAAATAAATATTTATTCATTATTTACAATATTTATTTGTGCTAATTATGCATGTGTATATATCTCTTGTATACGTAGATGTAACACAATGAAATTGATTCTTTAAATATGTTTTGAAAATAAATAAATGTCTCTCCTTTTTCATTTTACTTGTGCATTTCAATTTGATCTATTTTTTATAATTTTGATTAAAAGTTTACACTTAGATATGCAAATAGTTTAATTGAACCCACTCAATCTTTGAAGCATCATTCAATTTCAACAAAATGTACAATACTGTATTTGCAAGTCTCGTTAAACATACATTAAGCTGAAAATGTTGTGTCAACTAAGAGAGCAAATCTTATCCGTGTATTTCTGTGTGTTCGTGTTTGAAATAATCTCCAGCCCTGTGATTATTTGAAACACTCTTGTGATCCATTCTGCTTCCATGACTGCTCTTCCGGTCACCTGTTTCTATCCACTCTTGCGTTTTCTAGTTTCGTAGCTCTAAGAGGAACTTCCATCGAGATCAATTAAATCATTTAACGTCGCTTACTCAAAGAGTGCTGAAAAATAAGATATATAAATATGCGAATCGTTACAGAATCAATTGAAAGCTTAATGGTATTTCCAAAGTAATCGAAAAATAAAAAAATAGGAAGTATACAAATTATTCAGACTAAAAACTAAACGGTGTGAAGTAATATAAAAGAAAAACAATAGTTAATATAAATATTTTTAAAATAAATAATAGTTGTTAGGAAACTTGTCAGAATTACCTGGCCGCTTGCCGCGCATTCCTAAGAATCCGTTTGGCGCCCGCTTTTCTCCCCAGAGGTAGAGCCATGGATGTACCAGAGACTGTTGCTGATCCTCCCCGTTTCCGATTCCATTTCCCTCCAGATCGCCTCCCTTCTTACCACGTACTGCCACAAATTTGCTGTTGAAGTCTGCGAAGCGCTGTTGTTTTCCCAAGTCGTAGGACTTTTTAAAGAAATTATGCCAGAACTGGAGGCGATTAGATATTCACATTGATTGAAAGTGATAAGTAATGGCAATGGTCCGCTATGGACTAACTAATCATAATCAAAGGTGAATTTAAAACAATTCTAAAACGCAAAATTGAATTGCAAGCCAAAAATAAGGAATATAGGTAATAACAGTATTTTCTTTTGTTTATTGTTAAAAATAGATTTCGTGTTTCGGGAAATTTAAGCAGTTCTTTTAAATACACTTTAAAACTAATTAATTTTGTTTATTTTTCTTTGTTTTTAAAGTTTAGCCTTGCGATTTTATTTTAAAAGTAATAAATAAATATATGCAACCGTTCCTCAGTCGAAAAGTCAATTTAAAAATTTCTCGTTGAATAAAAAATATTTTGTCCTAATTATGGTTTTTTTTTAATATTTCTAAGACTGTTTTCAAGCAGGTACAAGGTGAGATAACTTACCTTTGAGAGAGCTTCCCGTTTGTAGTGCTGGTGGGAGACGTCCTTCTTGCCCCGCATCCCCACAAAGGAGTTGATCGGCGCCCTCTTCTGCGACAGTTCAATGGCCTCGTCCGCCTCCGCTTCCGTGTCTTCATCGCCACCCAGGAGGGCGGGTCGCTTGCCCCGCATGCCCGTGAATCCTGTGGGCGCCCGCTTGCCCACTGCTGACCCCTCACCCGTCGCCATGCGCTCGAAGAAGTCCCGCATCAGGCTCTCCCGCAAGTGCTCCTCCTCCAGGTGCTGCAGGACATCGGACAGGCGGGCTGCACTGATCGGGAAGAGCTTCTTGCCGCGCATGCCCACGAAGGCCAGCGGCGCCTTCTTCAGTCGCCGCCCGTTCTCGGCGTAGTAGCTATCCGCCTCCTCGTCGGCGTAGTCCAAAGGATCTGGCCCGGGTCCCAGCCAGTTTCCCTCGGACGTGTCCCCCTCTTCGTCCTTCTTGCCACGCATCCCGATGAAGCTGGACGTGGGTGCCCGCTTCACCACCTTGCGCGGCTGCTCGACGCCAGACTGGCCAGTCAGCGGACTGGCCGAGTTATCCGCCTCTGCATCCGTAGCAGTCGAAGGTGACGGCAGCAGGAGCAGCAGTAGCAGCGCCACCGCTATCAAACCGCTCTGAGTGCGCATTGGATGTAGCGAGCTTTTAGGCGGGCGTGGAATGCAATGCGCTGCTGAAAAAAGCAAACTTAAAGGGTTATGTAAAGTTGGAATTGAAAAAAATTATGTATGTATTTAAGAATAGATACAAATTTCAACACGAACTTTTAAAATATATTTTAAAGTAGTTAATTGAAGATTTTTTCTCACCCACAAGTATTTTTTTATAATCAATACGTTGGTAAAAACCCCAAAAACACTTCTGTGCAATTTTTTTTGCTTCAACTGTATATCACCACCACCCCCTTTTTTGAACTCGATATTTTGATATTTTGTATAGCATAAAAGAGCTCAGATTTAGATCAATGAAACCATAGCAAGCTCACTATGATCATTTTTTGTACAGTAAATTTACTGTAAAATGTGGTATAATTTTCGGTCTATTCACTTATTTATTTTTTATTTTTGTTTAATTTAAATTTACATAAGTAAATCTATTATGGATCTTCAAGTCATAAATTTTTAAAGAGTTAATTTTTATAATAGCTTCACCCAAAGTTTTCAGTTTTTCTCTATGTAGCTCTAATATTTCTAATTGTATAAATACTTGTATTCTTTTAAATGGAAAAATTGCACGGCGGGAAAACACCGAAAAAACATATATAAGAGAAACCCTTAAAAATGTTTTTCATTTCATTTCCTGTTTTGTTTGTTTAGATTTTTTTGTTTATTTTTTTTGCATAAGGCAAGTGCCCTAGTGCACTTAGACTCACAAATTCCCTGCGCCGGCGTCTACTTGACCTTTTTGTAGCCGGGTTTCATGGTAGGCAGAGGCATGAATGGGTTAAGGGGTGTGGAAGGAAAGCAAATGGTTTCAACATGCATGAGGGCGTTGGTGTAGCGAGATGCTTTCGACGTAAAATGTAACGCTTGCTGATGCTGCAATTTATAGTCCCAAATGCAAACACAAAGGAAGAAATTGAGAATGTACACTCAAAAATTTTTAATTCACTTCTGAAATTTTGTTGAAAACACATTTTTAAACGGCATATATTTCTGTTAATACAAATACCAGGAATTTAGTTACTAGGAGCTGATATCTAAGTAGTTTTTTTCTTAAAAGTTAAAAAAATGTAAGCCCAACTAAATTCATAGCTGTTTAGTATAATATTATATTAGTAATTAAAGATTAATCTTAACTAAATGAATCCAAAAATGTTGTTGCTAAAAGCTAAAGCTATCTAATTAGCCTGTTTGCTAAACCATTAAATTAAAATTTTAGCTTCACCAATGTTATAGCTGTTTGGTATAATTGTATTATACATTAATCAATAATTTTAAACAAACCATGTTCTGTCCTCAAAGAGTTTTTCACAATAAAATTACAATTTGTTGAACATAATATTTTAAACTGTAACAAAAAAAATAGTGATTTTTTGAGTAGATTTTCAGGCACATTTCCAAGTGCAGCATCTAACGAGTTGACGCCACGCATGATTATGCCACGCCTTGCAAAGTCAAATTGCCATGCAAATGCCCCTGGCCCGCTGGATAACACCGAACTAAACCCAGGGGGATATGGCGATGGTGTCGGAGCTGCAGCGACAACAGGAGCAATAG